GTTCTGTTGCCTCTGTCCACACTGCCCTTAGCCAGGACATCAGGAGAAAAGTAAATGCCAACCCTGTGGGAGATGTCATACTTATACTTCTGGCAAACTGTGGGCTCTGCCAGGATCATCCACACAGGCTGCTAAACCTATGACTCGGCCTAGCAAAGTCCTTTAAATTCAGCAAAAATCAAACATTTTATGCATCCAAAATACACGCTCAGCACAACACAACTGCTTGACACTGGTGACCCGTCCCTCCCAGACGCTCCCTGGGCTGGAATGCCCTGCCGCACCCCAGCCCTGCCTGCCTGCCTCCCAGGGAGAGGTTATACTCACCCTTCTGGTGCATAACTCAGACTCGGCTCACAGCCATTCCTGCCCACAGTCCACCCAGTACAAACAACTCTCAAACTCTTCTGCCTTCCCCATTTCAAATTTCCAGTGGAAAAGAACTCAGTTATAACAAAGAAATGGGCAAAAAACAAAAATGATGTAAAAATGAAGTGGATACTCAAGAACAAAGTTTTCCACAGAGTGACACCTTCTACAAGACATGAATGTTAAAATACCAGCAACCAACAGCCACAAGCAACTCCAGACAATGCTAATGAGTGACAGCAATGCATCCTTCTCCCAGAGCAGGGGAATTCTAACAAAGGTGTGCAACAGGCGCCTTAGGATAGATAGTGCTGAGAACAGCATCACAGCCACTCTACAAAGATACGAGATTCTTCTAAGGATACTTTCTCCATAAATGGCAGCAAGATGCTCATTTTTGTTTCTTGGTAGCAGACTGCAGAAACCTTAGCATTCACTTAATAGATAAATAGCAAATGAACTTTTAGTTATAAATAGTAATGTGGGTAATTAACTATAATTTTCTCATTAAAAAACTACAAGAGGACTTGGCTACTGGAACTGATCACATCTCTGCAGAAGGATCTCGGTGGCCCATGGTGAGCTATGGATCAGCCTTGGAGAAACAAAGTTCTTGGGGGATTTCTCAGTCACTCTGTACCTATGTCCCGCTGTTCTTTCTTCCTAGATTGTCATTTTCCTGCTCAGTTGTCCTTTGTTTGTTTTTTATCTTTTTGAGACAGGGTCTCACTATGCAATTCAGACCGGCCTTGGGCTCACTTTATAGTCCAGGATGGTCTCAGACTTGCAACAATCCTCTTGCCTCAGCCTCCCACGTGCTGGATCACAGGAGTGCACCGCCACATCTAGCCTCAGCTGTCCTTTTTAACCCAACAGCCAGCATAAGACCTGGTGTCTGTCTCTGGGCAGCTCAATGACCTCATTAGTGCAAGTGGGAGATTACAGCATCTATCTCCTAGGTTAAATGACAGGATGCTTACACTGGGTCTACAAGTAATAGCTTAATAGAAAGACAGCTCGTGCTATTTTCAGAATGTGATTGCTAGATGACTACTGACATGAGCACATCAGTATTGAATGATTTTCCATAATCACCTACTCACATAACCAGGGAAAAATTTTAGAAGTAGGAAAAACTAAAATGACAACCCTTCTTCTCCCTTAGATCAGTGTACACACTCCTGAAAGCTTTTGATGCAAAAATTAAGACTATTGGCAACAACATAACTATTATGAAAAGATTTGTACATTTCACATAAAATAAGAGTAGTTATTATTTGGGCCTCAACTTTGCCGAAGAGCAGAGTGAACGTCACCTGATTTAGAACAAGGGTCGTTGCAGGTGTAATTAAGTTAAAGTCTTGAGAGCATCCTGGATTACCCAGGTGTGCCCTCAACTGGATGATGACAAGGGTCCATGTGAGAGACAGAAGAGAAATCAGACACAGAGGGAGAGGCCGAGTGAAGATGGAGGCGGAGGATGGGACCACCAAGAATGCCTGGAACCACCAGAAACAGGAAGAGGCAAAGAAGCAGCTCCCCGAGAGTCTCTGAGGGAGAGAGGCCCTGCCAGCACCTTGGTGGTGAACTTCCGGCTCCCAGAACTGTGAAAAATCAAAGTCACTAAGTCTAGTGGGCCTAGGAAAGACAGCGCCTACGGCTTCTTTCCATCGTTGGCCATTACGGGGAAGCCAGCAGTTGGCACAATCTCACTCCCATCTGGGTGGAGGAAATAAGCTTTCATCTAGGTTCCTAAACCCTAACGATTCAGAACCAAATACCCAAACACTCCTGCTTTCTATTTCTAGGCGACAAAGAATAGGGAAAAGAACAGGGCTCTTATAGGTTCCATCAATGCAGGTCAGTTTTTCTGCTTCAGGTTCCTCCTAAAAATAATATTCCTTAATGGACCTGAAAAGCTGATCAGGGAAACGGTACTGTATGAGGGAAAGCTGATGGGCACAAATGCAAAACTACGTCAAAGTGTGTGAGCAGAACACAGCCCCTTTGCACCTCACCCTTTATCCGGGACAGACTCTGTAGGCACACAGCTTTTCACTGCAGCTCTAATAATTTAAAAAGAAAAACAGAGCTTTTCATCCTCACACAAATCTTTATATACGCCACGGCCAGCTTCCATAGCATGACTGCAAAAACTGTGTACATGGCCGGATGCTGGTGCATTCCAGGGTGCAACAGGCACTGGTGATGTGTGCTAGGGATCCCCCTCCACTCTGGACTGGGGACCCCCACCCTCTGATCTGCTAGGCCCTGGGTACAGACCCTGGTATCTTACGTGCTCCACGTGCACCTGTTACAACACTGCCGGAGTGAAACACTGTCTAGAAAACAATTTCTGAGGAAATAAAAGATAAATGAACTGGGAAGCACAAGAGTCTCTAACTTTTTAAAAAACGTTTCCTAACTTTCTTAGAAAGGATTATACATCTGTGTCAAAAAGTACCACGCACACAGGAGAGTTTTTATGGAGCATGTGCTTCTCTTTGCCACCATTAAAAAGCAACCACTGCAAATCTGTGTGGAGTAGCGTCAAGGATTTAGACCAGGGGCACAGCACCTGCCTGGCAAACGTAAGACCCGGGTTCGATTCCCGGCACCAAAAAACAAGAAACCAATTTGTATGGAATCTAAGGTGATGGAAAAGTTTCACCAATTCTACTAGCCTTTTGCAGGCCATCTCTTAGTAAAAACGGTTTTTAATCCCTGGCCCTACCGCATTTCCTGCCTCCAGTGTGAACTGCTGTAACACCAGCATAACCTGGATTTTATTTCCTTTCTTCACACATTCTGTCTTTGGGGAATGCATTTCAGAAGCTCCAAAACATAATAAAGAATACACCTATTTCCTATACTTGTAATCAAATGTGTGTTTATACTCAAGAGCTCCTCAAGTATTATCCCCACGTCTTTTTAAATTGAGCATTAAGAAAACAGATTTCCTTAAGGTCCCTTCCCAGCCATGCATGATTAAGAACTCAATTATCCATTTACTCAACAAATATTGACTGAGAAGCTATTCTGTACCAAATACCAGTCGGAGGGGATTTAGTAATGGACCAAACAGACAAAATTCTTCCTGTGTGCACCTCGCAATCTGTGCACACAGGAAGGCAATGCATGCACACGAAAAACAGGTGAAACGGACGGTGCTAGATATGAACAAGTGCACAGAAGAGGTGCAGGGCAAAGCAGCAGCACCGGAGTCTCCCCCCCACTGAGCGCCATCAGCCTGGAGGTCATGGCCGAGTATTACTGCTCCTTTCATAACTGTGACCTGTCCTTCATTTATGTGCTACCTACAGCTACCTCTACTATTACAATTATTATTTTGTGGCGATGAGGACTGAACCCAGGTCCTTACACAGGACAGGCGCGTGCTCTACCACTGAACGACATCCCAACTACCCATCTTAATTCAACTGCTGCTAACTTTTACCAGTCTAGTCCTCTACCCACTGTTCCTCACTGTTCCAAATTAAAATGCCTTTTGCGGAATAAATCCCTTCTTTTGTTTTTCACAAGTGGGGGCACACAGGGAGTAAAACACTAACATTTTCCAAGCATCTGCTCAACCAGCTGTAGTACTAGGTACCTCCTTTTCGCTATCAGAATTATCTGGAATCAACCCAGGAAGCAGACAGCAAGATTCTCAGTTTACATTGAAAGAAACAGATACTCTAGCAACGTGCTAAGGTCACACAGCAAGTGGCACGTCTGAAATGCGAGGTTTGTCGCCCGTATGGGCGGTCTCATCTTCCAAACTCACTACTACGGGCATTCTTTTACACACCTTTTTGTTGGCTGGTCAATCTTCATGGACCTTGGGTCATTCTTTTCCGTTGTTCTCTACAACAGAAAGTACTATCTCCAAATACACAAAAGCAGCCTCATTTCCTTTACAACCTTAGGATTGAATTAGACCATGTTCAACGGGACCGAATAAAAAATTTACAAAGACCATAAATTTTAAAAGTAAGATGACCACTGACTATAACGGTCGATCGCTGGCCTCTTTTTCTGGTACTCACATTCCCTTTGCTTATTTCTCTCGTAGAAGAACATTAAGCCTAAATCTCAAGCCAATGGAATAACATGTAGGTGGCCAGGGGATTCTGCATGGAATATTTAGAGGCTAATAACATGCAATTTGCAATCTGTTAGGTGGTCAACTATGCAAACCAGATCTGGGTAACTTTCAGACATCTTTAAGGCTTGCTTTTCCCATCACCTTAATAACAGTTTCCAGGTCGAAGGCACCGGAAAGCATGCAGATAAAATACCAGACCCTGACAATGCAGTTCTGACCTCACAACTTCACTCCCCCGGCCGCCTGCCGTGGGAGCGGCTCAGATTTTACTATGCACCCTCCGCAGAGGGATGTTTGAGAAATGCGTAACGGAAAACGCAGATGCAGGATCCGAAACCGGTCACTGTCCCCCAAGAGCCTGGCACGTATTCCGGGGGGGGGGGGCAGCCCGGGCCCGCCGGGCGCTCGCAGGACGGACCCCGCGGCGGGAGGCCGGAGCCCGGAGCCCGGAGCCGGAGCCCGGGCCGGGGTCGCCGCGGGCCGCCGAAGGGGCAGGGGGCGCCCGGCCGGCCGGCCCGGAAGTGCGCGCAGCGCCCCCACCCGGCCCCGCGCGCCCCGGCCCGCGCCCGGCCCGCGCGCTCACCACAGCTTCCTCTTGAGCGGCAGGAGGCTGCCGCGGTTGGAGGGGGTGACGCCGATGGCCATCTGCAGCACCGTCAGGTATTTCTGGTACTTCATCTTGTCCCCGCCCCGCTCGCGGGCAGGGCCCCGCCGCCGCCGCCGCCGCCGCAGACACAGCCCCTGCAGGCGCCGCATAGATCAGCCCTGGGCCATGCGCCGCCGCCGCCGCAGCCGCTCCAGCCCGCCGCTCCCGCCGCCGCCGCCGCCGTGCGTGGCCGCCGCTCCCGCTCCCGCTCCCGCCGCCGCGCGCACCGCCGTCCGCACCCGCGCCGCCCGGGGACCCGCCGCGCACACCCGCCGCCCAGGGCTGCTGCCCGCGCGGTCCCCACGCCTGGCCTGGCGGGGCTTCAGCCGCAGGAGCGGCCTTTAAGCAGCTCGCAGTCACCTCCCAGGCTCTGTGCGCGCTTCACGGTTTTGCATTTCCACAGGAGACATTGCACAGCTATTATGGACCCTGATGTGTTGGGCGATTTTAGATTTGCATCATAGACATTTCGTACTTGTTATAGATACTACCCTAATGAGTTGGACGAACATATAAAGGATACTGCATATTGACTATAGATACCACCCTAACACGTTTGCAATTTTACATTATGCATTACAGACGTTGCATATTTGTTATAGGTATAGCCTGACACGTTGGATGATTTGACATTCATATGTAACAGACGTTGCATATTTGTTACAGATACTACCCTAACGTATTGGAATACTTTACCTATATATATATATATATATATATATATATACACAACATTAGACATTGCATTTCCTCACTGGCGTGGTAGTTCTGGACGGTGCAAATAGAAACATGCAAAAGTACCTCAATAATCACTGAGAAAAATTAACATTGTTTAATGACCTTTAAAAATTTCATCAGTATCTTCAAGACTCTTAACATAGTTACAAACGTATAGGGGAATGAAAAATATAACAATAACTAATATGTTGAAACACCACAATTAAAAGCCTTCCAAACATTGAGAATTAAAAGGTTTCTCTGTGAATTCTCACGAGTAATCTGTCCTAGGATAACCATTACACACCAGCCAAGTGTTTTTTCTGTGTCTTGACAAAGCGTCACATTTAGGTTACTCTCCGCAATTCTATCCGTTGTGCTGCTTATGTCATGCGAAGTCTCCGGGAGGTCCTTTCATGTCATTTGTAATGTTGACCTCTTTTCTCTGCTCTGCAGCTTTGTTTTTGGTCACAACCATGTTCCTCATCTCAGTCCACATCCGGAAGTTCTGGCTGCATTGTCTAGAACCTCAACAAATTCAGCATTCTCACAGCTGCCTAGTTCTGTACTTCTGTTACGGCTTAGATCTCAAAAGTTCTCAAAAGTTCTCCTCAGTATGGAAGACGACTGGATTGTGGGGCATCGTATTCATCGGTTAATTAATGTGGGGCACTAATCCACACCAACCCACTCCTGAATCCATAGCTGAATCCCACCCCACCCCTCCACCCTCACCTCCTGGCAGCCGCGGATTGAGCCCTTTTCCTCTGCCATGCCCTACACCGTACCATTTCTACCTTGGAGCCAGCTGAGTGTGAGCTAAACCGTGAGCCCAAATAATCCTCTCCTCCTGGAAGTTGTGGATACTCATTCACATTCCATTCTAATTCACTCCCACCCCAGCCTTGTTTTTTTTCTTTTGCTGCACTTTCATCTTTGTTGACCGATTTACTCTTTCATTACACATTCTTGTACAGTGATGAGTAGATTTATCACTGAGAGAAAAAGAAGCAGCACAACTGCACACTTTGCTGTTAGTGCCTAAGCTGAATAACCGGGCAAGTCTATCACCTGGTATCTTACATAACGGAGTTAGTGCCCTGTATGGGTACCAGTACATGCCTTTGCTCATAGCTAACATACATCCTGTGGGCACTGAAATTTGAACCATCTTCTTGGGGAACGGATGTAAGTTTTTTTTTTCTTTTTCCTTTTTATTGGTACTGGGGATTGAACTCATGACTGCCTGCTTGCAAGGCAAGCGCTTACGCCGCTGAGCTAAATCCCCAGCCCCAAACTGGTGTAAGTTTAAAAGAATATAGCAGCTGATATCAGGCATGTCTGAATGTGCACGTCAAAGACTGACTCCGTGTGTCTGCATGTGCTATGTAGAATGACTACATGAAAACTACCAGTAACAAGTACTTGTATACTCACCAGGCAGAATTATCAAATGTCAACTGTCTTTCCTCACAGTGCATCCAACCAGTACCTCTATGTAAACAGTTAATTTTCAGATTAACTAGTATATAAGATTGGAGCAAAATAATCTTGCTCTGGTTTGGGTTCCCAGCATTATTTCCTGGTCCTTTCGGTGGGGAAGCAGACCTAAAGCTCTTCTACTTGTGCTTAGCAGGAAGTTTTAGCTCTCACAGTGAGGTACTGGCACATCTTTGCTGCTCGGAAGATCTGCCACACACTGTAGAGGCCCTTACAGTAGTACTTATAAGAACACCAGGGCCTGGCCTTTCCCAGTGACCATTTCTTTTGCATGCTTGGCCTTTGGTGTCATCTTTTTATATTGTTGGTAAGATACTAGATGATGATACTGCATTGTATGCAAGGATTTTCAGGACTGGAGGCTGAGGAACCCATTCAGAACAATGAGATGAAACAATCAGGGTGAACCACTTTGTGAGTGGTGGGAAACGTACTTTTCTATAAAAGGGAGAACTCTAACAATAACAAAAAATGATCAAAACCAGCCTTATTAGAGCTCCAAAGATTAGCCCAACCCCTGTGCCTTACGCCCACAATTCAAAAGGGAGACGTTTCTTTAGGCTTATGTTTTTAGTACATGGTTAGCTGGCTCCAAGGCAGAAACTACCAGAAATAGAAGGGAGGAAGCTGGAACAGGACGACACCCTTCCAGGTCATAGGCCCCAAAGATGATCACCTCCAACCAGGTCCTGTCTCCAAACAGGAAGTCAGTATAGAGACCCATGGCCCAGTCACCTTCCACACATGAAAAGTGGGGGGGGGGGGATATTTTGGGATCTAAACTATAACAGCTTGTAACCATCTAAAGAGTACTGAATCTCCAGGAAAAGTAGTAAATCTTGGTGAGAACAGTGAACTTTATGGCATTTTGGTGTGCCCAGTCTCTAACTTCATAACCTTGTAATCCAATAGACCCACCACTACAGTGGCTTTGAAAACCAGCAGACTGCCTACCACTGAAGGGCAAAGAATGGGTTTAGATGACCCCAAAGCTTCATCTCCAGAAAAGTCATTATTTGAGCTGTCTGGTAGCACCTTGGAAAGTCCCACTTTCAGGGCACGTCTTTATCTGACCTGGCTCAGGGCTCACTTTGTGAAAGCAGCCTTCACTCTAGGGCACTTGCTGTTGCAGTAGCTTAGCATCATGTCCTCCTGGGCGGTGGAATCAACCGTCAAGAGGGTAATGGAAAGATTGGAAAAGTGGAAAATGTAAGTCACAGAATTCTTCAAAATCTCTGACCTAGTCCTAGGAATCCAGATCTCTGCACACACGCAGGACTGGGCACATGCTTAGGAAACACGTAACTTCTACCTTGTCCATAATTATATGTAATTAAATTAAATGTACTAAACACTCCAAAAGACAGAATTAGGGCTGAGTGAAAGGTGCACATCTGCAAACCCAACACCGGGGCAGGCCGAAGGAGGAGGATTGAGAGTTTGAGCCTGACCTGGGCAACTTAAGCAACTTAGTGAGACTCCACCTCCAAATAAGAAAACAAAAAGACTGGGGATGTAGCTGAGTACAAAAGCCCTGTGTTCAATCCTCAATATGACAAAAATATAAATAATCAAAAAAGACAGAGATTGGTGGAATTGATACAAAACTAGGATCCTACCATACGCTGTTCATAAAAGACACATTAAAGGTACAAGTAAGTGAAAAGGAAAAGAAAGACATTTTATGTATGAAAAGTACAAAGCAGAGCTGGAGGGAGATATCAGGTTAAAAAAAAGACTTTCAAAAAAATCGTTACTAGACTGAAAGTACTTTATAACAAAAGTACCATCTATTAAGAACATAATGACTAGTACATATATGCACATGACAGCTAAGGCCAAAAATACGTGAACTAAAGTGAAAGAATTGGGGGACTTTTGTTTGTTTTGTTTTTTGAGTCAGGTCTCACTCTAATTCATGCTGGCCTTTGACTCACTGGGTAGCTCAGGCTGGCCTTGAACTCTCTATGATCCTCTTGCCTCGGCCTCCCAAGTGCTGGAATTACAGGCATGTGCCACCATGCCCAGCCCTGAAAGAACGGAAGAGAGAAAAAGAGACAGTTCAACAGTGAACCCCTTTCCACAATGTATAAAACAAGAGAAAAGATCAAGGAGACATGAATACTATGAATTGAACAGACCAACCTGTCTCTAGAACATTCCATCCAACAGCATATTACTCGTTCTTCTCAAATACACATGGAACCTCCCTCAGAATAGATCATATGTGAGGTCACAAAACAAGTTCTCTGTATGACTTCCAATTGAAATCATAGAGTATGTTGTCCATCCATAATGGAATTAAACTAGAATTCAATAATGGAAGGAAATTTGAGAAACTCAGGACTATGTAGAAGTTTAACAGAAAGTCCTAAGCAACCAAGAGAACAAAACAGAAATCAAGGTTGCAAATTAGATTCCTGGTTTAAAAAAGAAAGAAAGAAAGAAAGAAAGAAAGAAAAAAGAAACCAATAAACTTTTTTTAAAAAAAGGATAAATGAGAAAAAATATTATATAAAACCTGGATATGGCTATGACATCCAATAAATATTTGTTGAATTTATACAGATATTTATAGTGGTCAATGCAATATTGAAGAACATGAAAAATCTCATTTATAGTCTTCAAATTTTTTGCCTTAAATAATTAGAACAAAAATAGACTAAATCTGAAGCAAGGAAAGAGAAAAAATAATAAAAATTAAAATAAAATTAAGAAGAGAAAAATAATAGAGATGCTCAACGGAATAAAAAATTGATCCTCAGAAGATATTAATCAAAATGGCAAACCTTTAGCT